TGGCCACAAGAGGGCGACATTATACACTATGATTTTGTTGCATTCTTGTTTATTTTATTTATTTATTATTATAATATTTTATTTTAAACAGCATTAAGAACCATTGCCCCCACCTTCCCCCTCCTCATCTTCCTCATCTCCTCCAGTGTGGTGCAGTAGTTTACGGCTGCATATTCGATCACAGACAGGAAGACAAACAGGAAGCTGGTCCACAGGTAGATGTCCACAGCTTTCACATATGACACCTGGACAGTAAAAAGAAGCCACCACATTCAGTTTTATACAGAATTCTGTCAAATATTATTTAAACATGAAATTAAAACTGTTTAGTTGTTTTGATCTTAAAGCCATGTTTTTTTTTATGCATGAAACAAATGCAGATGATCTATAGAGGCCTCCTGGATTCACTTCTAACTAAGACTCAGGAACTGACTTTAAAAAAACCTCCTAAAAAAGGACATTTCATTGTTTTTGGTTAAATCATTAAAGTGTAAAGCTACAAGTTTTTTTCTGTGTAATTTTTTCTTTTCTGCATTTTTTTCAAATCTTTTTTTTGTTCCTCTAGAAACCTGCTCTAGGTTCCGGAGGGTTGAATCCAGACACTGGTGTAAGGAGCAAAGCTCTGAGCTACAACACAAGAAACATCCTAAAATCCATCCAGACCACTGATCTCTGTTTATTGCTGATTGCCCAAAAAAAGTGAAGCCACAGTCCGCATTACTGGTACTCCCCACTCCCAGGGAGACGCGCAATAAAAATGCCTTCATGTGTAGCATTTGGCTGCAAAAACAAGACATTTCACAGGTAGTTGCACAGTCAGTGTCAGTGTGTGCAAACATACTTGTATATATAGTTTTTTTTTTTTAAATGATCAGATTCTTGTTGTAACTAAGAGCAAAAAGCAAAATATGAACTTGATGTCACCTGTTATTTTACCAATTGATGTCATTTTGCTGGTGTAGAAACTGAAGCTCTGTGGAGTTATTCAATTGGTTCATTAATTTAGCTCTATTGTTAATCTGCCAGAATTAAAGTCTAATGCACAGACAGAAAATAAAAGTATATGGCATCATGCATGCACAATCTGCAAATAGAAAAATACTATAGCATTAACATACATGCATTTGTTATTCAGTCTTTATGTAAAACCTTTAAATTATATGTAAGATATAATTATCATAAGAATGTAATAAATAAATGTGTATTACATGAACATCACCAGTTTAGCACTTTTGGCACATCTGTAATATTATGCTCCATTAGCACATTCATCTTATTGTGATTAATTTGTATAATATGTTATATTACATGATTTAGAGAATTAATTGACTTCATGCTGACTATGCAATGTGATGTGCCTATTTTTTATTATAAGTTAAAGTAATCTATTTATGCAATAAAACAGCCAATGTGTGTCAAATTGATGAATTTATCTTTATTTAAAAAGTCTAAGCTCTAACTAGGGAGTACCAATATGGCAGCTGGTGGCTTCACTTTAACCCCTTACTACCAACGGGCAATCAGCAATCCAGTGAATAAATAGAGCTCAGTGATTGGGACAGGGAACAGCTGTATTAGAGGAGGAGCATGTCTGTTGAGCAGGAGTCCAAAGCCAGCTGTTACCTGAGGCATGGATGAGGACACTCCTGTGATGATGGTGGACATGGTGAGGACAGTGGTTATACCTGCAGGAGGACACAGCAAACACAGCTCATCATTCAGGCTTCGGACATTTCCACAAAAGTCAGGCAGAGGGCGCTGTGGTCTGGCACAACTCATGTTTGACATGTAGTATAAAAAGGAGGAGAAGGTTAATGTAAACACCGTCCTTTCTAACACCACAAACTATTGAATTGTTTATCAAATAGATCTATAATATGGCTTTTGTTGTTTTTTGGTGATTTTACATGAAATTTTCCCCTAGAATATTTGGCAACAACACAACCTTTTTAGCCGATACATTTTTTTTAATTATTTGACAGTAAGAATGTACAATAATTAGCTTTGCTTCACAGAATTAGCCAAAAATCTAGTTTTCGTCCGTTATTCCTGGACAGATTTAAAATTATCTACCTAAAAATAACCAAATATCAAAAGATTACAGGCCTGAAACACAAATATAAAAAGCAATAAAACCTATTTGTAAATACAATGAAAAAAAAAAATGAAAACAAATGGCTATATTAGAGATACTGGCAAAAAACAACAACAACAAAAAACAAAACAAAAATAAATTATAAAGCTTATTTGCGCAGCAGAGAGGAGCAGCAGTAAAGTTGGTTGAGGACAGATACTTCATCTTATTAATGCTGTCATGTCTGTATTATGAACCAAATGCTAAAAAAGTATAAAAAAATAATTGTATTAATGTAACAAACTATTGAGTCAAGTACATAACAATGTGCACATAGAGTAATAAACTACTATATTTGTTCACCTTATTTTTGATTACTTTCCAATTACCTTAGAAGACTCGGTCAAATAATATTCTTCTGTTATGGAAATTATATACACACACAGGAGCAAATATTTACATACAAATTATTAGCTGCATGATGCATATTATTCCCTGACTGTATAAATAATTGTCCAATATTTACAGCATCTGTTTTAGATCAGCAAACAGTCCAAAATACATGACAATATTTTAACCCTCTTTTATTATTCTGTAATAACCAGCTAATAATGCAACACTTTATTACATTATGATTGTCTTTGTTGGTTTAAATCAAACACTAAAAACAATAAAAGCAGGTAATTACAACAACTTACAGATAAAAAAAAAAAAAAGAGTTTTTAAATCAATTATTATAATTCTTATGATTCTGAATGTTCTGGGTATGGTTAAAACCAGGATAATCCAAGAGTTACCAAGAGACACGCGGGCGGGAACGGCTCTCCTGTCGATCCAGAAGGACACCCAGGAGAGGACGACCATCAGCATGGTGGGGAAGTAGGTCTGCAGCATGAAGAAGAAGATGTGCCGCCGCAGGATGAAGTTAATGAAGAGCCGGTTGTACCAACCTGGAGACACAGAGAACGAGTTTTATTTCACCTGCTTGGTATAACTGGCAGCATTCCCAACAAATATGTGACAGGATCTGAGTGTCCGTTGAACGTATAGATGTTAAAGTTCATTTAAAGGAAAACCAGATTGTATCATTTAGAACAACATGCATCCACGTGAACAGTCAGAGTGTGTTCAAAAACAGCCTGAGTTAGACGTATGGATCACGAAGGACCAGAACCAGCAGCCTGTCTGGTTATTCTGCCAATGACTGAAATAGAGTCATACCCTCCTAGGATGAAATGTGCAGTGGGAAAAAATGTATTCAACTATTCACCCTAGATAAATAAATGGAGATAATTGGATTTTACTCAGTCAGCACTTTGTTTTCTTATCTTTTCAAAGAGAGAACAGTCATACAGCCCTTGTGGCTCAGTAATCAGCCCTGTTCTGACTAGATAGAGTTTGTCTCCCTTACTTATGTTGACTGTGAGGTTGTGTCAAAGTCATAACAAATTACACACACTTTGAAAACTTCGAGAAACAATTTG